TTTTCATCTCAGTATTCTCAATATGAAATTATTTATCATTAGTTATATATATTCCTATATATTTATTAACTACACAGTACCAATATTAAATATTATTGTATATTAATTAATTATGAGTATTGCATTAATTATAAATCACAAATGTATACGTACCTTTCTTACAATAAATTAAATCCGCAGTGAAAATTATCGAATCGTCGATTAACTGTTTTTGGCGCCATATTGCAAAACTTCTATTCGTTCGAAACTACCCACGTGATCAACGGATATTCTGTGAAAGAAGCGGAGAATATGAAACAATTAAAATCAATGATAACAACATGAAATAACAGCTCAATATACAAACTATTTACCCAATTTAAAAACTCGTACTATAATATAATGGGAATAATTCAAAAATCAAATACGTAGCCAATAAAACAGAAGGAATGTCACTTTGGCAAACTACGTAATTTCACTAGGCAAATGTATATGATAAATGATGAAATACGCATACAGTAATAAAACAACAATAAAGACAACAATAGTACACAAATGCTTACAAAAGTGGCATTACACGATTAATAGGTTATAAAAGCACACTTGACGTTACGCGTCGTTACGTGACGACTTTCGACAGTCGAATGACCTCCCCCCCGCACAGGTTGGCCCACGAGCTTGTGGGGGGGGGCACGGTCAGGATTCGCGCGGTTTATTCGGAATTTGAATCTATGTATATTTGCGCGCGCTAATTTAATTTTCATACTTCGTGTCGCATGTGACTTTAAAAGAATTAATTTAATATTGAACACACACATGTGGGATATTCACGCAATTTAACATATTTTTATATTCATATATTTCTGTCTATATACTATATACTATATACTATATACTATATGTTATGTACTATGTACTATATACTATGTACTATATACTATGTACTATATACTATGTACTATGTACTATATACTATGTACTATATACTATGTACTATGTACTATGTACTATATACTATGTACTATATACTATATACTATATATTTCTATTTTTCATACTTTCCAGTTTCTAACGTTACACGTATGTACGTATTTTTATATTTCCATTAGGGTTCAACAACATCCACACTTACAGGGTTTCAGAGAAGCCTTCAGAAATCTTTCGAGTGTCAGTTCACATATAGCCACGATTCAACAGGGTCGTGCTATCGTTTCCGTGTTATACGCATTACCTTATCAAAGAGAAACTATACCGTTATACAGTGAAAAAGGAAACGATGCTTTTGACAGGTAAGTAACCTGATTTCCACGCGAGGCAAGTGTAAATTGCATGCACAAATTTACAAGGTGTTTCAACTTCGCAATGGCTATACGTTTGTGACTTTCGACAAACAAGCCTTTCTATATATTTCAGGCATATTTGTATTATTCGTTGCCTCAGACACTCTTGGTGAATTTGAAGGCATCGTTGATACAGATTCGTTCTCAGATGGCAATAATTGCAGCACCACCGACAGTTTCGTTATTTTCCGCACGCCAAGTGGAACGCAACGCGACGAAGGAGAAATCGTAGCCGATGTTCTAATTGACGGGCCTAGAAATGACACGAATATCTCACATTTGAAGACACCTGTAGACTGGAACAATTGGACGCCGAAACTTCAATTTCCTACAACCAGCAGCGAAAAGCAATATAAAATGGCAAATCTGCATTTGGACCGAGGAATGTTCGTTTTCGATTTCCTACGGAAATTCCTGTCGCTTATTCAACCTTACGACGTGCCTGTCGGTAAAGTATACAATATTAAAACTTTGTGCTTTGTTATTTATTTATATTATTTATATTATTACTTGTTTTAACTGTCGTTCGCAGATTTGTTAACAGACGCGATCGAAAACCGTGTAGATACGTCGAGATTGATTTCAGAGGTGAGGCAACATTTCCCAATGTTTTCTCCGTGTCGAAAATATTAAGCAAATTGGGATTTCTTGTCCAATTGTTGCAGTCGATACACCTAGAAGCAACATTGTTAGTAGTGTTCGGTATGTGCTGTATTTTATGCTGTGTAATACCTGGAATAGAGCTTTGGCTTGCGTGTCGTCCAATAAGGGAGGATTACAAACCGAGTCAACATCCTAGCGTGCTTACGTTTTCTCTCGCATTTTTCGTCTGCATACTCGGGTGAGCGCCATTACAAATATTGACTGCGGAATGTTTTACATATAAATTTGTCGCTCCGCAACAGGTGCAAGGGAATGAGAGAGAGAGAGAGAGAGAGAGAGAGAGAGAAAAGAAGAAACTGTGAACCGTGTGAAATTTTAGTCTTTAATATTAAAAATTACCAACAAGACCCAAGTGACTCCGTAACTTTCCTTTTCACTTCGTCAAATTTGCTTTAACTTGCCTTCAGATTCGGCATGATCACGATGATCGTGTGCAACGAAACGACATCCGCAAGCGTGGAAAAATTCCCGGTCGTCGTTGAAACTGCCTTGCAAGACTTGAACGATTATCACACCAGCACAACAATTCAATTACGCAAATGTCTCTCGAGGAGCTTGGATGTGGCCAGCGAGGCAATCCTTGCAGATTTAGACAGTGAGTAGTCCTGCAATTATCGCATTATGTTCCAAGATAATTAAAGATATAATTTAAAAAAAGAGAAATGTAAAGTCGAATACGATGTAAAAAGGGATTGG